CTTCTGAATAACCAAAATGCCCAGGGTGATGATATTTAGTCAGTAGCATACTAGGATCAAGGACTACCAAGTTTGTATAAATGTATGACCTTGAATCATATTCAAGGTCACAAGGAGCAAATATGTTCAAAATATTTCAACAACTTGTTCTGAATAACCAAAAGGCACAGGATGTTGATATTTAGTCAGTAGCATATGCTTGGATCAAGGACTACTTTGTTTGTTAAAGTGAATGACTTTGACTTATATTCAAGGTCACAGGGGTCAAATTTGTTTAAAATCTTTAAACAACCTCTTCTGAATAACCATGGGTCCCAGGATGTTTATACTTTGCAAGGAGCATCCTGAGATGAAAGGCTATACAATGTGTTCAACATAATGACTTTGTTCGACTTTCAGTCACAGGGGTGAAATGTTAAAAAAAAATAACAGGGTCTTTTGAATGAGTTTTAATCATAAATACTGATATTTTGCCTGTAGCTTTATTTTAGATCACTTTTCAGGTTACAAGTGAGAGTTTTATACCAGGTGAGCGATGCAGGCCCATTGGGCCTCTTGTTTTCTGACAAACTCAGTCGCTATAAACATCTTACTAGATGAAACAAATCTCGAAAGTGATTTCCCAGATGATATCGCCTTAGAACCGGCATTTAATAGATCAGCAAACCGTAGCAACCGTAGGCTCCATATCAGGGCGTGCACCATCAGATTAGTAGAGCTACATGTACACGCGCTCTATCAGGAAGTGTCGGAGAACTGGGACATATGTTGTGACTTCCGTGGTCAATATCATCATTTTAATTAACCTCGTGACAATTAACCTACTGTCCCCGTTAACAGTCCGTGGACAGGGACGGTATTCGGTAATTGGGATGATGATTAATAGATCCTGAGATATTGAAGTTTTGAAAAGTGCTAAACCGACTAACTACCGAGATAACATCAAATTAAGAACGTTATAACGTTTTACATTATATAGGTAATCAATTACATGCTGTCGCGTTATGAAATATTTAACAGATCTCGACAAATAATCGATTCATCTGTGATTTTTGCATTGTCATTATTTGATTAGATCTGACTTGTTTTGTGTACATAGTGGCGAATGGTGTTCGTAGACATTTCCTATCACTGTCTATTGTGGGTAGTAATTACAGATGTTACGAGTACAGGTAGAAATCAAGTGGATCGTTAGAACACTCCAATACCCCTTGCTGTGAAATGGACTGGGCTACATTTGTAAACATTGGTGTGTGGTGGTGTCTTTGAACTTAGTACCTATCTCCGGAGGTATTTATAGGGACGGCGCACGGAGGGGTGACCCACTCGCATTATAAATGACAATGGACACAGGGTAACATACCTGTATGTTTATTACCTGTGCTTACATATATGTACAGTTTACATTCAGCGACTGATTATTTAGTATGAAGCGTTTAGCAGGACTCGTCTTACTGGTGTTGGGGTTAGGGATATATTTTAACCAGCAGAGTGTGCTATGTACAACTGTGTTGTCCAAACCGCTGTACGCGGCTGTGTTTTACGCCGTGTTGGGACTGACCGCTGTGTATCTTCTGACCAGTCGAAGCCCGAAACTTTGTGTTTGTCCGACTGGTAAAGCAGTAATAATCACAGGTGAGTTTAAACATAGGTGACTGAAATGTATCTATACAAATGTGCGCATACAGAATGTCATTCATAATCTTATCTCAATCCAAATATAACAACACTTGAGACAGGTAAAATCGGTATGTTAACATATCTTATTTAATATGCATATTTCATATTCCTTTCATAAACATGTTTTAATGGGTTGCGGAAAGAAAATCGGCCATGCATGTCTCCATTACACTGTACTACACTAAAACGTTTTATCGTCAAGGCATACCATACCTGTATATTGGTTGTTTATACCTAACCTCGATCTCGGACAGGTAAACAGTTTTTGATCTCCGAACCCTTAGGACATGTGATGTCACCATTTGTGATACAAAGTCAATTTAGGACAAATTGGACTCGCACAGATAGCTTTAAGAGCAGTATGGTCCACATTTATACTACAACGTTCAAGGTACCTGGGTTTTATAACAACGCTCCGGGCACATGTGTATTGTACCCGACAACACCCTTATGTTACAGGTGTGTTCTCAAATATCAGACGCCATCAAACTAAAAACTTACCTTCCCATAATACAAGCCTACTTTCATATTTGCTGGTCCCATATTTTATGGTTGAGGAAGTAACATATATCGCTGAAATTTAAACTAGTGTAACGTTACTTGTACCTGGTCACGCGTGTCTCTAAACCCCGTCTGAATGTGCGGAGTATTCGAGCATTAATATAAGTCGTTATCACGAAAGAATAGATTAAAATCTCGAACAAATTACGTTTGCATCGTCTATATGCGTCTTCACTACTCTGTCCGATTCATATTATGGTCTTTATGACTATAACGTGCTAAGCTTAATAAATCTTATTATACTGTTTCATTGGCTTGTGATGATGTATAGCTAGCTACCTTATAACCGCTACACAGTACCGAGTACTACTCGAGCTCCAAGCCTAGTATATACCACTAGGCCAAATTACCGTCACATCGTGCTGAGTACTAGAGCACTAAATCTGGTATACCACTAGACCTAAATACCGTCACACCGTGCTGAGTACTAGAACACTAAATCTGGTATACCACTAGACCTAAATACCGTCACACCGTGCTGAGTACTAGAACACTAAATCTGGTATACCACTAGACCTAAATACCGTCACACCGTGCTGAGTACTAGAACACTAAATCTGGTATACCACTAGACCTAAATACCGTCACACCGTGCTGAGTACTAGAACACTAAATCTGGTATACCACTAGACCTAAATACCGTCACACCGTGCTGAGTACTAGAACACTAAATCTGGTATACCACTAGACCTAAATACCGTCACACCGTGCTGAGTACTAGAACACTAAATCTGGTATACCACTAGACCTAAATACCGTCACACCGTGCTTAGTACTTGAGCACTTTATCATCACACCGTGCTGAGTACTCGAACACTAAATCTGGTCTACCACTAGGCCCAAATACCGTCACATCGTGCTGAGTACTCGACGCATTTTATCATCATACCGTGCTGAGTACTAGAACACTAAATCTGGTCTACCACTAGGCATAAATTATCATCACACCGTGCTTAGTACTTGAGCACTTTATCATCACACCGTGCTGAGTACTCGAACACTAAATCTGGTCTACCACTAGGCCCAAATACCGTCACATCGTGCTGAGTACTCGACGCATTTTATCATCATACCGTGCTGAGTACTAGAACACTAAATCTGGTCTACCACTAGGCATAAATTATCATCACACCGTGCTTAGTACTTGAGCACTTTATCATCACACCGTGCTGAGTACTCGAACACTAAATCTGGTCTACCACTAGGCCCAAATACCGTCACATCGTGCTGAGTACTCGACGCATTTTATCATCATACCGTGCTGAGTACTAGAACACTAAATCTGGTCTACCACTAGGCATAAATTATCATCACATCGTGCTCGCTACTCGAGCACTTTATCATCACATCTGGCTGAGTACTCGAGCACTAAATCTGGTATACCACTAGGCCAAATTACCGTCACAGCGTGCTGAGTACTGGAGCTCGAAACCTGGTATACCATTAGGCCTAAATTATCATCACACCGTGCTGAGTGCTCAAGCAGTACATCTGGTATACCACTAGGCCAAATTATCATCAGACCGTGATGAGGATTTAAGCACTAAAGCAGGTAAACCACTAGGCCTTAATTACATCACATCATGTCGAGTACTCGAGCACTGAGTGGTACAGGCGTCAGACCGTTCTCTACTAGCCTTCTACCACTAGTTGCAGGTTCGCGTCCACCAAAACCTGGTACGTCATTGAATGACACTACAAAACTAACTTGAACACTAAATCTGGTATACCATTAGGCCTAAATTACCGTCACAGCGTGCTGAGTATCCGAGTACTAAATTAAGTATACCACTTGGCCTAAATGACCATCACACCATGATGTGGTAATTAAAATTGGATCTAGGACACATACAGAAAAAAATACAGATAAACCTCTCCATGTCGTTGAGGCATGGGTGGATAGAGGTCCTGGCGAGTGATGGTTGGTTATGATGTTTATCTAACTCGAGTTAATTAATTTTCAAATTGTATAAAATCACGAGATTTAACACTAGTAGGTAACCAACGATGTTCACACCAACTCCAAGCAAGTAGGAGGTGGATGTTGGAGAAATGATACTCAAGGTCTATGCTAATCCGATAAATATTTGTGCAAATGTTTTCGTGTCAGCGGTAAAAGTAAACACGAGAGATCTGAATCAAAGTACTGGTATTATGCAAGAGTTACATGTGTGTTATTTAAAGATCATCAAACACTTCCTTTTTATTTGTGTGTGTGTCGCTGCCTGTACTATTTACGAGACACGCAAATCAAGCGTGTCGTGTGAAACACATCAATTCATGTTCCCAATTCAATGACGCAATGTTCGTAACTCTCCGGAGTAATATGCTGTTGTAGAAAACATCACTTCGGGTCATCTATCAGTTTAAACCGGAGACACCAAAACAGAAACTGGTGTTGCCATCCAGATTTTACGTACATGAGATATTGTCACTTCCATGTTGGGTTTAATCCCGGGGTTGAGGGGTCATAAAATAACCTCTCCACTAAAACTTATTTCATGCCTCATTAAAGTCGAATTAAGTAGACGGACCCCTTCAGAATTTGGGTCCTTTTCGTCTCTGCGTCCTTCTTGGTGGACATTAAATAATCCTTAAAAGGGATCTACTTTCATGCTCCTTTCCTTTTCGCCAATCGCTTTGGATTGTCATATACTTGCTAACAGTTTATCCCACAGAAAATACCTTATATTTATCCGAACAAAAAATAGCTTGCTTTCAAACCTTGAACTTCTGTACAGTTTCGAAATGTGTCACGTGACATCCGGTATAGTTTATTTGTTATTTAACGTCCTCATCACAATTATACACATGAAGAAGAAGGTAGTTGAAGATACAATTAGGGTAATCGGGCTAACCACTCCTTGCCGCTAGCCATTTAACGGTGATCATGAATGTTAAGCAGATATCATTGAGTACCAACTTATAGAAAGTCGGTTTGTTTCGACATGGGGACCGAACCCATTATATTTTTATAATACATTGTATACTCAACACTTGTACTACGGCCAAAAACGAGGTATTGATAATATAAGTACGGCGTTAGTTACCGAAGATGTCGCTAGAAAGGAGAGAAAATATTAAGATACATGTACTAAAGGGCAAACGGTTGCATTTGGTACAGCAGATATATTTTGATTGCGATTGGTGTCCCCAGATAGAGCGCACCGAAAGCAAATCCCCAATTCTAAACGTAATTCCCACATTAGTCGCCCCAAACGAAACCTGACCTGCAGGGTTGGACTATTGGACAGACGGTAGAGCAATGACAGTGGTACATGTAATGACGTTCGTTCGACATCGGCTTCCTGAAAAACCTGCATACGACAAAATTGTATCGGGATACGAGGCAAAGTCCGTTTAAAACACTTGTCCTTGTCGGGGTGCCTTTATGGAATATACAATGACATGCTCAGTCTGCGTGCTGAAAAGAACAAATAATCTATTATATATTCACAGACCTATCTATCCCGGGTATTGAGGAATGTGCTTTACATACATCTAACATTGTTGGAAGAAAAACAATCTGAAATGGGTCGTCTGATCGACCTTATCAGAGAATGTACTCTTTTGTCACATCAAGCTGCGATCGGACCCCATCAACATGAAACGACTTTATTTTTTATCGGGACTGAATAATTGGCCTACATTTATGAACGCGCGAGGACCCCAGTATACACTATTACTCAATCTGAAGATTGTTCTCGCGAGAGGTTAAAAGCAATGTGTTCGCATTGAGTTTAACCAGACAGGTGTAATCCTGTCTGCACGGCGCACACTTATGTTTGTGAGCACAGCAGAAGTAATTGAACTCCTTTTGGTTTTATTTTTGGAAAACCCGCTCTTGATGATCAATGTGTGTTTTAGTATAAAAAGGTAGTTTTTAATGTTCAGGGCCACGTGACCGCCGATTAAGGTCTTTGTAGATTATACACGTATTGCCCTTGTGCTAGGGAAACACGACTATTTGTTTTATAATTCAAGATAGAGCAGTAAATATTTTATTATAACGAATAGAACATTATAACAAGTTAATAGTGAAGATAATCAGACTTCTGCACCATTGCTGGCTGCTTAAGGCACTCGAAACTCACGTGCTGGGCAACTTGTGTTTTTTTTCTAGAGAGGCTTCTAAGAAGAGAAATATGATAAGGGAAACTCGAGCGTGCGAGGGGAACACGATGTTTTATTTTCCCGTAAGGTGAACAATGTAATCCAATCATATAAGCTGTTATATGAATGAAGTTTAATATTAAATATCCGTGCATGGTGTGTATCCATATGCTGTATCATGTAATCGCCGACGATGTGCGTAGACAAACATTCAGGACTTTGGCTCTCCATTCGATATCCAGAACAAATAAACCCCAGTAAGCCAAGAGTAATTTCCGAGAAACAATTGTACTTGGGGAAATCAATTCGCGAACGGCACTTCCAGGTATAATCAAAACACCATCATCGTCCTCTGATCTTCACGTGTCGCGGGCTCGTTTGTCATAGTATTGATTTACATTGTACAGCAGACCTGAGAAATTGGATACAGGTGAATACACAAGGATATACTGTGACAGGTTATTTGGGTAAACCGGTACCAGGTGATTTGGGTTAAATACGTGGTAACATTGTCGTAAGCACGTGATAAATATCCTGTGTAATATTTCATAATTAATGCTTCCAGTAGGTTTTTTATTACATGGATGACGCCAGTTCTTTATTGACATCGGTAATTTGAACCATGCTTCAACTGTGATTCGTTATCTATTTATCTACATGTATATTAAACTATAGAAACCCGATATTATCATTATTGCATTACGTATCTGCCTGTAGCTGGAACCATAACAGTGGATGTACCGGGTAATATTGCATCTATATCTAGCTTTAGCCTGATCACTGAGTTATAATCCTTACTGTTTAAAATATAAAAATAGAAACTTTATTTATTTAACAACAAATACGAAACAAGTTATTTCAACTCATATTAATCACTCTTATTGGCCCGGATGTTAGCGCGTGGAGGGTCTTAGTGTGGGAGGAAACCGGAGTACCCGGAGAAAACCCACTTGATCGGGCAGGTGACCCCAACCTTTTCAAGTCCAATCGGGGAATCGAACCCCGGCCGCCTTGGGGAAAGGCAAGTGCGCTATCCACTGCACCACCCAACCATCCTAATTGTACTGTTAAGTCTGACTTCGATGATAGCGATTAGGTTGTAATTGGTATTCATGGACGTTTTTCTCATAACACGTTTGTTTTAATTCGTGTAATTAATTGAATTTTACCTCTAATTGTGTCAGTTGTAATTCGTTCATGTAATTAAGTTGTTGATTATGATCATTGACGTTTACCTCTGAACGTGTAAGTTGTAATTCGTGTGATTCATTGACGTTTTTCTCAGCACGTGTTCGTTGTAGTTTGTGTTCATTGACTTTTTTCTCAGCACGTGTAAGTTGTAGATTATATTCATTGACGTTTACCTCTGAACGAGTAAGCTGTAATTCTTGTGATTCATTGACGTTTTTCTCAGCACGTGTTCGTTGTAGTTTGTGTTCATTGACGTTTACCTCTGAACGTGTAAGTTGTAGATTATGTTCATTGACGTTTACCTCTGAACGTGTAAGTGTTTGATTGTGTTCATTGACGTTTACCTCTAAACGTGTAAGTGTTTGATTGTGTTCATTGACGTTTACCTCTGAACGTGTAAGTGTTTGATTGTGTTCATTGACGTTTACTTCAGGACGTGTAAGTTGTAGTTAGTGTTCATTGACGTTTTTTCTCAGCACGTGTAAGTTGTAGTTTGTGTTCCTCTGAACACGTAAGTTGTTATCCGTGTAATTCATTGATGTTTACCTCTGAACGTGCAAATTTTAATTCATGTAATTTGTAGTTGGTGCTGTTCAATGACATTGTCCAATGACGTTTTTCTCATAACCTGCAAGCTGTATTTTGTGTTAAATAGCATGCTTCCCAGTACTTGCAAATTGAAGTTTGTGTTCCATGACGTTTACCTCAGAACGAGCACGTTTAATGTTCGTTATAGCTTTTTTTTGTCAGAAAAATACAACTATTACATGTAGTTGTGTGATATGCCCTTAATCTAGGAACATACAGATCGCTGTCCACTGACAAGCATACAATCATATCCAACCGGACATACCGCCAAAAAGAAACAGCAGAGATGAAAGCAAAGAGGCCCAATATATTATATCTTGAAGCGGAACTGGACTGGGTCGATCGTCGGCGACTAGGTAGCTCAATTGATACACCGTCCGTCTAGAGTTCAGATGGTCCCGGGTTCGAACCCTGGTCTGGCCGCTGCATTTTTCGTTCTCCTGTTTCATGTGCATTACCAAGGACTGCACTAGCATACCGATTTTGCTCTCATTCGTGTTCCCCAAGCAGATACGACAGAAAAGTCACGAGCCCGATCACATGTTATCTCGTGCACATACACCTGTCAGTCAAACTGCTGAGCGAGACTTTATCTCTACTTCACCTATATATTGGTGTACCTCAAAGTATATACTTAAACATAACAGCTCAGTGTCAACTTGAATAAACACGTTCTTATCTCCTGCTGGGATTACCTTTACGTAAAATACTGACAAGCACTCTGTCACATACCGATAACTGCTTTCCATGCAGTGGCCATGGACTTCATTTGAATTCTTGTTTATATTTCATTTTCCAAACCTTTGTTTGTATAGGTATGTACAGTGTATATGCATCTTGTTTCAGCAGGTCGTATTTAAGGTTTAGTCGGTGCGCATTTGTTTAAACTCAGTTGTACCTGTTTAGGTTATGACCGAACAGAAACCAAACATTAACAAAATCTAAACCACACGTCTAGAAAAACGTATACCTGTAGTTCAACTTTAAATGATATGTTACACCATCACGTTATGGATTACATTTGCATGGCATTGTCACTAGATAACCTACTTGAAAGCTGTGTCGCTGATGAGACTTTGAATGACATCCACCACGAGACACAATTCTCAGCCAATCAGCACGCGACAATACGATGGTCTAGTTATTGAACAATTTTGTGCAGACTGTCGATCAGGCGAGATTTCTAAATTTTAATCTAATTGGATGACACACCTTTGCAAGCAAACAAAGCATAATGAGCGCTAAGTTCAATGCTTAACAATAGTAAATTGCGAGTATAATTGTGACAGCCACATATCAATGTTAATGGGCTAGCATTCAGTTAAAGCCAATGCCCTGGGATGCTGATCGATCAGATTTAAACATATAACAATTACTTTGATGATTAGAGAGAACAGGCTCATCAACCTAATTATTCAAAATTATGGAGCAATCATCTACCAAGTAATGAGTCTTGTGCTTAGGCTAGCTTTACGGATCGTAAAAGAACTTTTCCCCCTTTTTTATTTAATATATCACGTCACCTTCAATACTCACACGATACATAATAATATACTAAGACAAGGAACAATGATAGTATTGCAACATAAAGTACCTGTCCGTTGTATTTTCCAGGATGTGACAGCGGCTTTGGAAACAGTTTGGCCAGGCGCCTGGACAAGCTCGGGTTTAAGGTGTTCGCCGGATGTTTGGCGCCGGACCGCAAGGGCGCTACGCAGCTGGAGGAAGATTCAGGGGGAAGGATCCAGGTTGTGGAGCTTAACGTCACAGATGATCAGCACGTGAGATGCGCTGTTAGATTCGTCAAACAAAATCTCGGCGACCATAGTAAGTATGCGGATAATATACGAAAATTATTTCAATTCATGACAAAATAATCAAAGGTATAACCACGAAAACAGAAGGACTTTTTATGTGTGGTTTCTCCGCAACGGATGTGAAATTATCATTTGGTGTTCTTATGGGGAAAAACAAATAAAACACTTGGCTCTCTGGATTCCATGACAGAAACCCTCGTATTTTAATCATTTTGTGACCAAGAATGAGACCTTTTAATATAAATAGACGGCGAACGGTGCGATAAGTGTAGTATAGATTTATTCATAATGGCTATGAAAGAATATTTCCGAAAAGATGTAGATAGAATGTATGTTAATTGGAGTTCTATTGAAAAACACCGGTAGATATTCATGTTTGCAGATTGTGTCTTCCTTTTACGGACTGCGTTTATACTGTACAAGGCATTGATAAATAGTTTCCTGCTGAATTTATGTAATACATGTAGCCAATGTATGGAAGGTCATGGGACTTTTTATGTATTAAGAAAATCATTTTGAAACTGTCCTCATACCAAAATTCATAACAATTAACGAGGTCAAAAGTTTGATCCCCCGAAGCGGAGATGACTTTTCATGGAAAACAAAATTATTAAGAATATATGTTTCTTTTGTATATAACTCTTTGCTATGAAAGAAGGGCAAGCAAATCTTTATCTTTAAATGCACCTGTAAAGGCCTATTGTTGTGGATTGTGTAAAGCTTAACACGTTGAACTAGATATAAAGGGTACATACCAGTCACAACTGTATATAATCGATGCTGCTGCTTAAATTAATGGGTTGTTCTATCCAAATTAATGTTCAACATTTAGAAATAAAATTGTTCATCTGAATGATTTGCAAATACATGATAGCCCCAAGATACGATCAATAATACGGCGTTATATAAATATATATTTGTTATAATTAATCTTAAATGGTCTAAAGCAATGTTTACATTGAAACCCTTTGACCAAACCAATCTCTAAACACCTGTTTTAGTGACATGTTCTTTGATCTTTTACAGCGCTATGGGCGTGTGTAAACAATGCAGGCATCGCCGTGTTCCAGGAGATCGAGTGGTGTTCCGTCATTCAGTTTCAGCAGATCATGGACGTGAACGTGATTGGCGTTGTCAGGGTAACAAAAGCCTTCCTTCCGCTGATCAGAGCGTCAAAAGGCAGAGTTGTTAACGTCGCAAGCCTTGCAGGTACCTTATTCTAAAGTGTCGCAATATAGTGCTTAAACAAATCAGAGTTGCCCGTAGCCAAAGGCTGTGGAAAATGAGTTTGACGTGAAGGGACTATAAATTGACTTTTACACGATTTCCCAGACTGCAACTGTTTAATTCTACCGATGCAAACCATATACATGTACATTGTATTAGGTTCTTTGTTTGTGTTGACCTTCCTGTCGACTTTGTTGCTTGTTTAAACGTGTCGTTCACCTTGCGAAATAGATCTGGTCAAGTGGAACCACAGTCTTTGTTAGAATCAACATATCTAGAAATTCCCAATTGTAACTATGCCGATACGAACAGTACAGACACTTATGAAAGGCAATATTTCAAACCACAAGTTCCCAAAAAAACCTATCAAAAGCAATAACTACTTTTCAACTAACGTCTGTGCTTATTTCTCGATCGATAACAAAAAACTGAGGTGTCAAGCGCGTATACTTACTCCTCGCAACTCTCACCTAAATGACTCGATGCATGGTGGGCAGGGCGATTGGTGTATGACCTCAGCGAAATGAGTTTATTGGTTCATTACTACGGGGACACAGCTTCTGAAACTAAAGCCCGATAAAATGATATATCCCTAGGGTATAGCATTTATCGTCGATTTAGCGCTGGGACATCTAATTTTATACTTATTTTACAGGGATACTTATGCAAAGGTATAGAATATGTGTTTAAAAATCGGAACACGGTATAACACGTTCTTAATATGTTAACAGGTCGTTTTACTGTGCCGTCATTTGCTGCCTACTCAATGTCAAAGAAGGCGTGCATAGCGTTCTCTGACGGACTCCGACAAGAGATGAACAAGTTTGACATCAAGGTGATCACAGTGGAGCCAGGCCTGTACAAGTATGACATACCTCCACTATAGGTCTCCTTCACTATCTATATAATTGCTGACTGTTTTTTCTGTAACTATTTTAAACTCATATTCTTTTTGTACTCTAATGCACCTGCATCCTCTTAGGTGCTAAGTGCAGCCTTTCTGAGCGTTAGACCTTAAATTGAATGTACGCACTAGAAGTAGTCATGTACGACAGAAATGTCTTCTTGGCTGGAAAACATGTTTTTCCAATTAAAATTTGATTTTTGGGTGAAACTTATCTGTTCCTTATCACAGCATCGAGGCCAACGTAGCCAATGCACGTAATCGTTTGATGTAATGCTTTTGCGGGGTTGGGATAGATAATTTGTTTTCAAATTGTAGAATGCAAAACAATTTCCTAGTCACTTAGGAGAGAATGCGTCTTATGCTTAAATGTTTGCATTTTTTTTTTTATTGTTGTGCAGTACAACAATTTGATTATAGAAAAAAAGGACATAATTTGTTTCTCCCACTACAGGACACCAATAGCCGCCACAGATTACCTGATCGACACCAACCGGAAGTCGTGGGCAGAAACGCCGACAGAGGTGAAAGATGTGTACGGCGAAGAGTATTTCGACGCCTTCCTCAAGAACATTGAGGGCCAGATGAAACGCGCACGCAGTAACGTGGAGGAGGTGGTGGATCAGATGGTGGAGGCTGTCACCACGAAGGAACCGCACGTCCGATACGTACCTAACTTCATGTCTAACGTCCGAGCGTCCATACTCATGTATCTACCTACATCCATAACCGACAGGTTCTTTGAATCTATCTACAAAATTAAGGTCGATGTTAAGAAAGCTACTTAATCGTTGCTGATATGAGTTATGACTTGAGACAAATAGTTCTGAATGACCACGTTGGTATGATGTTTGTCAGGTTTATAATCCGGACAATGAGAAATATCCAATCAACCTTGCGGGTTTAAATACATGGATATACTTGACAATGTAAGCCCTTGCTGTAAAGGTTATTGTCGTACCATTCCTTGTAAAGATTGGCGAAAGATAAAAGAGTGGTAGATCCAACGGGACCCATGGAAGCATTATGGTAATGAGGGGAAAGACGGACTCGTCTTACTTTGGTTTGTGTAATTATATATGTATTGTATCATGTGGTTCTCCTTACAGTGAAATACAGAAAAACCTGGTAAATATCAACTCCGCTTATCCGGATAATTTCCTGATCCGGACAAACCGACAAGTCAGGAAAATGATTTTCTATTTTATTTTATAGTACGTACATGTGTAGGAAAGTTTAAAATGAAACTGGTGATGTATACGGTGCCACACATATCGCCTGTTGTCTATACCGTCACCGATAGACATGTATACACGCTATGATTAAATACATGTATATATTATAAATATACTTCGGCAGCAATAAAACGCAGTAAGTGTATTCGTGTCCTTGTGCTCTGTGTTTTAATGTTCAAAATATAAATTGTGAGAAAGTGCACTATGCAACCATCAAAAACGAACAAAAACCGGATTGGCGTAACCATCAAGTTCAAGAAAGTTTCTGTTTTATATATTTAAATATATGTCACGTCACGTATGGAACAAATTATAATCGTTTATAATCTTAGAATTGAAAATAAATATCAAAACGATGTCCTTGATTTGTTTTGTTTAATACATGTATCCATCATAACAATATCCTGACCACCAACCAAAGATTCCCGGAAGAATCCTTCTAATAGGAAGAGCCATTCTTTTGCTAAAATATATTAACTTATTGCAATGTAGCGTGAGAAAGAAACTAATTTGTACTACAGCTCAATAAAGTTTAATTTACTTTACTAGGTAAAGTACTAAAGGAAAACGACGAAGTGTTCCTATTTGACACGACCTAAAAAATCACTACTAGGTTACCTCCGGGTCATTTCGCCAACATTCCAAACTATATCAAAAACCTCAAGAACGAGATGTTTCGAAAAATAAAGAAAGGGACATAATTCATAATACTGTGTATATTAGAACACGTATTTCAGGTTCGATAAATGTAGGTGACATAGCAAGGAAGGTATGCTCTGGACAAACGTTGGTAACAAATATTAACAAAGGGTCATATTTTTATATAGTGAAACATGACTCCCTGCCGTCCCAGATATTCGCGTATTTCAGGTTCGATAAATGTAGGTGACATAGCAAGGAAGTTATGCTCTGGACAAACGTTGGTAGCAAACATTGACAAAGGGTCATAACTCTTGAGGGGCACGTGGCCCAGATTTCAGTGCACGAAATTTCACCTTTCCGAGCTACCTTTTAATATTGTTTTGTGTGTGTCTGAAATAGCAAGGAAGTTAAGGGACGAAAAGTATACCACAATAAGTTCCACCATATATGTACAAATGTAGTTTACGTATAAACATATCTACGCAATGCATAGGTGGTGGGCACGTCTATCAAAAAAACAAAAAAAATGAATATATAAAACTAGTTTTATATATTCATTTTGTTTTTTTTGATAGACGTGCCCACCACCTATGCGCGATGCTATGATAGAGAGTTAGGTTTTTACACATCTAATTCTTCTTCTGCTCTCTGAATCATTCGTATTAGTCTACATTATTGTTTATCTTTTCACCCCTACTGTCCCAGTGGTTTGCCCTTTAACCTCTAGTTTTTACACTGATTATGTTAGCCCTTGGAAAGCATTAGCCTCTATATAGTATTACAGTCGTTTGCCCTTTAATCTTTTATCTTCAATGGCTCCGACTTAGCCTCTTGTCTTCCAGTCGCTTCAGTAATTCTTTCCTTAGCCCCGTCTTTCGACTTACTGTTTTGTTAGCACTTTGGTTATCTCTTGTTGTTTTTAAGAGTATATACCAACGTAAGAGACAATTGCGGCCGTAACTGCTGACGTAATACAAGTACAAGTGCGGGTGTTTACACAACTAGTGAGTCATAAGGGATCCATATACCACGTTAATCTCGGTTGCCGGGAAACATGCGACATAATATCCTGTTGAGAATACTCTCGCCGATCAATGCAGGTTTAAACGCTATTTACTGCCCGAAGTGTTCTATATAGTCTTGTTACTAACGACAGGTCGATTTTTTTTAATAAAACAGGGTTTTCATGTGTATTAAAATTGTTTAACAGTTTCTGTATAGTAAATGCATGAAAATCAAGAGTGAATGAGAGTCGAATTCCTGCGCCCATAACACTGTAATGAGTGTGTTATCGTGTTATTGGAATATTTCATAAAAGTCGTACATTTTTGCCATGCAATACAAATAAAAATGAGCAATACAATAAAACTGCACGAGTCGAACTCCTGGCCTCTACCAACGTCGCATAAGAGGAATTAAAAAAGAACAGCATTAAAATTGGCCAGAAAGCTTAGGAAAAATTTGATCGGGAAAGCGACTTTAATAAAAGACAGAAAATCCTTTTGGCTGCTTCGTCTTTTAAATAGAAGGGAGAATACTCCGGGTTAAAAAATCTTAATTGAACTCTTCTTTGCAATTGTAAAGATGCAGTTTAAAGTTTACCGTAAGTTGTTTGACCATATGCTATCGTGGCATTGACAGGGAGATGAGGTCACGAATCAACTGACACTCATCGATAAGCGTCTCCTCCCTTATCTTAACAACTACATAATACATATTGAAATATCCATGCACCGCTCATGAATTTTTGTTTAGGAACAGACGATAGTAAGATTTAAACTTCAGTCCGATATCTAACAGACAATTGCACTTACGTCTGCAGTCTTTAAAACGTGTATATTTCAAACTTTAAACATTCCAGACTCGGCCTCTAGTCTTTGACCTTTGCTATCTAGCCTTCCATACTTTCTATTTCAGCCTTTAGTCTTCTTTGCGTTTCTATTCTAAGTAACCTGTGATCTTCCATGCGTTTGACATGCTTTCAATTTCAATCAGTAGTCTTCCAAACGTTTGTACATCACCTTCCAGACTCTAATCTTTTAGATGTTTCTTTTAAACCTCAGCCTTTTTGCTATTCTTCAAAACGCATTTTAAAATTTGTAGACAATTTACTCCTGTGAAAGTGGGGGTTATGGTAATTCATTGAGCAAATCTTATAGCTCTTCACCCCAACTTGTTACAACCAAATCTCATAAATCTCATGAAACTCTCCAATTTGATATGATTGATATTTGATTGATATATTACCATATTAACAGCTTTTCATTTTCTGTTTAAATTACTTAACAGTGACAAAATAAAGAGTTAAGAGGATACAAATACATTTTATTCATGAAGATCTACACAATATCTATTGGTCTCTTTTCATAATTAGCTACATAACTTTGTGTTAGATATTCTAAAATACAAATCTGGTGGATATATGCGAATACAACATTTACAATTAATTCATAATTGCACAATGCCCACAATACATTATCACCATTGTCTTGTAAATCTGATGTCAAGCTTTACTTCACCTGTCAGTTCATGAACTGATAATTTTTCATTAAATTCGGTACAATTTTTTTCTGAAAGGAATGTGTAATTTTTGTTACCTCTCCAACTAAAGTTTACTTAATAACGGACATAGAATGACAACAACACTAGCAAGATCATTGATAATTAGACAACAAAGATTCTGTTGTCCAGACATGTACACATACCAAGGTAGGTACATGTCACAGTACCTGGTACACAGCATGTATATACTGTATATATAGTATATATTTCTCTCTAGCTGTACACAGACATAAAATAAAACTTCGATATAATGCCACTCATTTTATTTGCCACCTTGTTTACGGCCGACATATTTCAAGGGTCCCTTTTCTTGTTTTTTAGGATTTACTATATATATATCCCTCAAATTATCGCCAAACTCCTTTAAAGCGTCTACATTTTTCTGAACAAATGGTGGCAGTATAACGAGGTTTGAATGTACGTTTACAATCACATAGCACTTTGAAAAAGCCAATAAATAATGTAAAACACATTAACTTAACTGAGCTTTTTGAAAAAATATAAGACAAAGATAACTATCCCTTATTTCACTGTAAAATAATGATCCTAGTCCCACTGCAGACAAAAACATTAGATAATTCCACAGTAGCTGTTTACACCTAGAACAGGCCATAGAACTGCTGTTCATCACATAGCTCAATCGATTAATAGAGTAATAGTATTGTGATTGGAAATCCTGGGTTTGAAGAGTTATCTGCCCCCTATTATTTGTACTATTACTCTCAGAACACTGCTGTAGATGTTTTGTGATCTATCTTATTTGTCTAGAGCTATTGGTAGGAACAGTGTCTAATTCAAAATTATAGATATTGGCAGTGGTAACGGAACCTTCCATAATCACATAAATTGTTCTATGGTCCAATTTTCATGTGTAGCAGCAAATGGCCTTGTTATTCAGATAAGAGAACTGGGGACTGGTACACAATGTCTGCTGGAAGGAAATTTGAGATGGTATGGGAGTTTATTACATATTTACTAATAAATAAGGGTTTTTTGTATATGCGATACAACACAATTGCTCTAACCCATATCAGCCCTCGCTGTATCACACCTCAAAAGCCGTACGCCGTATCACACCCCAAAAGCTGTATCAGCCCCCGCCGTATCACACCCCAAAACCTGTACCAGCCTGCAAAACCTGTATCACACCCCTTTTGGAAATTTTTCGTTTTTCAATATTTCAAAAGAAAAATAGATCATAAGATAGTAGCTTTTATTAGTAAGTATGTAATAAACAGAATAAAACACGCCTTTTTCCATATCCCACCCAGTATCAACCCTCGACCAATATCAGCCCTCAGGTTGATTCTGGGCGTGATATGGAAAAAGGCATGTATTATTCTCCATGTATCATGTAACAGGAGAAAAAAATGCGTATGTGTGTAATTATGTGTGTGTGTGTGTGTGTTTGTGTGTGTGTGGGGGGGGGGGGGGGGGGGGGGATAAAAGGTGTTCCCTTTAACCACCTGGATCCCACTTGACATGCTCAATTTCAGTGATTCAATGCTGTACATGTAAAGCGTTTGAAAAAGAAATATTTTACTACTATTATGAATCGATATATCAGTGCTATGGCACCAATCACAAGCTCACAATGATCACACTCCTTCCCCAGATGGATGTGTTAGCTCTTTGATGATCTGAAATAACAGTTCATTTTGTTCTCCCATCAGAAGGGGCCATAACTCTGTTTGTAGAGCACGTAGAGAAATAAAGTCTTGTGACTGACAAGCCATCTGAAAAAAAAGATATATAATATATGTATGAAAAAGAAAATCATTTAAAACTAAAAACAAATATGTACAATACATGTGCAAAGAAATAGAAAAACAGAACAATAGTTGTGTGGGGGCACTTGAAACTTATCTTTTTCACTTGATAATACTGGTATAGCGATACCTTCCCAAAGCAACATAAAGCATGTAAGTACAACACAGATGTTTGTTGTAGTTTGATTCTCAACCAAAAGTTGCATGATGACAGATGAAGTATACTTTTGAGCAAATATCATAATACAAACTAGAATTATGTCAGTGTGACATTACAGCCGCTCACCACTTTAAATTTAATTGCTTCAGTGACACGTTGAGTTATTTCCCTTACACCCAATTGGATACTATTTTGACACGGCGCGAATTCTTGTCAAACAGCAGCGGCAGTTGTGTCCTGTTCTTAAATTGTTACACTTTCATAAATAAATACACCAGAAATAGCATGCTGTGTTACAAAAATGTTTGATAAGCATACACAGTTCACATATCGTCTCGTCTCGGAGCCATTAGTCTACCGTTATCAACCTAAGCACGATATGGCATATATACGTTACCGTTTCAAACATCAAAATAGAGTTTATACTTCATCACTCATACGGTTTATAAGTTTATATATTTACTTCTTCCTTCTACAGACAGCGTCAATGCTTGACAGTCTTCACATGTGCTTTCTCAAATCATATGTGTTTCACACGCGTAACACTCCCCAGACCGCAATCCGAGTTGCTAAAACGCTCAAACCTAGTGCACGAATTTCACCACCACAACACTCGTAGAACGCACCGAAGATAAACATTTTGTTTTCAGCAATTATTTAAAGTATGGATTATTATTTGGAGAAGAGTATCAGAAGACTTTATGTAACCCACAGGTGAGTGTCAGAGATTCTACTTTCTATTTACGATAACGAAACTATATAGCAGAAGCATGCAATACTGAATTATGCGCACGCACCTCGAACGGAAGTGGGTCCGTCATTTCGTTCTCTGGACAGAATTAATAAGCCGCTCGGCTCTCGCCAAGAGCGGCTTAAAAACACAAACACCTTTCCATGTTTAAGCCTGCAATCCTCAAGACATCATGTTTAAACTTGGACCCAAAGTGATCTTAACGTTGTTCTTATTTGCAGCAATAAAATACATTATTGACAGAATTGTACATACCACAACTGACTGCATCATAAGAAATAGATCTTCTGACAAAAACTGGGCTGAAACAGTAATGAAAATAACGAGTTAAAAATCAAATCATCCTATTAAATGTTCTATTAAATACTTCTGAGTTTAAATAATTCAGAATAATTATAGGTGGTACTAATTAGTTCTAATTTTAAAGACATGACAAATGTTTGGAAAATATAATTTTAGTAAAACATTGACAGCAATTCCTTGTAATGTTTATGTAAATACTGCTGAATTAAAACAGAATTAAAGGGAGTACTACTGGTAACTATAATACAGTTCTAGAGCAATCCTGTGACAGCAATTTCAACAAAAGCAATATGCAGCTGAAGTATATGAGAAGAATATGACATGTAGGCGAGATGGTTGGTCTTGTGGACAGTACTAGACACTCACCAGTGGCATGGTCGTCCGTGGATTCCCAGGCATACTTCTCCAGAGTCTGGGCATGCTCTGGTCTGATCCTTTGTGGAGTAGGCTGCGTACAAATTTACCAATCAGTCATTTACAAACATCCAGTAACCAAACAACATCCAAATAAACTGCTGTCCTGCCAAACAAACCCTCTAGCCTTGTAAATCAAAATAACACATAACTATATAAGTTTTACCATCTTGCTTACAAAACATAGTACTGGTTAACTTTATACTTGCTTGTATGCCCCCTCCTCTATATTGCCCTCACATAATCAATTAATACAGTAGTATGTCATAAATAGGATTGCAGAATGGTCATGACAAATTAAACACTTTTTTTTATCAAACATTCATTGAAAGGACATAAAAGCAATCCCTCTTGTATTAAATAAAATCCAACACCATGCTTGATCTACCTGTAACAACATCAGCAGAAGGACTCTTGTGACCTCACAACGTGCCAGGATGTCACAGTAGGCTCCTATAGGCTTCCCAGTGGTAGAGGACCCTGTCATGTTACAAAGCTTACATTATTCTTTACTATATCAATACTTTTTGTACATGTATGTACACAATCATGTTTATCATATATCATAATTTGAATATTTATCAATGAGTTAATCGACATAGAAAAGAACATCAAAATATTAAAAAAATATTTTTTTACCTTTTTTGCAATAAGGTTGAATAAAATACTAAATACTCTTTTTTATAAAGCTGGTAAATGATGCATATACATAATAAAAAAACCCACATCAAATACAGTTGTAACAAAAAAAATATAACCTACCACCCCTTTCCTGCGCCAGATAGGCCATTTCTGTTAAAACTGCCAGAGCACCATCATAATCTTCTGTAAATCAACAAGGTGAACATTTTGTATCAAGTGTCTAATCAAATTAAACTTACCACTTCCCTACAGTACTACTGTATATTACAGTGAAAATGACTGAAAATATGGTTCTAATTTACTCAACAAAATTTAGAGTGTGAAAATATCTTCCTTTATGAAATGTGCAATAACACATTGTTGTACAGGTACATATTATTTGAGGGGGATGTATACAAGTATTTATCATCGTTTGTGCTCAATCCTTTAGTCGGTGAATGTGATAAATAAAAACAGGGTGAGACAATATCTTTTACTTACTCGTTGCCACTTTACATGATGCTACAGATCCTAGGGAGTGTAGGCATTCTAACGGACTCTACAAGTAACACCATATGATCATAGCATTGCTTCATTTTCATAATGTTTACAGTATTTTAACACCGTCTTCATCAGCACCACATTTTATTTGAAATTGATTTTGTTCAAGTTATTAAGTTATAGTGCAAAATAAAGGTGGCTTCATGAAATTTTTCTATAAAATCACTCTTGAAAATGTTTTCTCTGCTCAAAGTTTCAACATTTATTGAATTCTTCATGTTTAAGCTACATCCAACAGCTATACATGGCTTTACATTTTGTTTGCTGTATAGTTACAAAAACATTAACCATATAATACAAAGTGTGTGTTCCATCCAAGAATCTCAAAATTAAATTCCCAAATTTCTTGTCAAACACATATTTTGTTTGATAACCAAATTAATTGCTAAAAACAATGTTTATTACCTGAGACTGAAGCTCTGCTGCTCGCTGAAAGTGGGACATTGCTTCACCAGGTTTGTTTAGATTCTGTACCAAAACAACCAGTGTTATACTCAATTAAATGTTAACGATTTTGTTAATTACCCATGATTATCAGGAAGCAACATGTTTAACAATTATACATTGTGCATGTATTAAGCTGAACACTCTGAAGTTAATCATCAGTAGATGGTATTTTAATCATTATTTGAAACAATTTTAGACCATAGTCGATTAAAATGTATCTTTAAGAGAATGAATGAAATCATTACTTCTCTATCTAAATCATGACTTCTTTAGCACTTGAATACATATATGTATTATGAAATAGAAAAACATCAAAAGATTGTATATTAAATATTCATATTGAGTAAATAAAACTCACCTTCAATGCCTCTCCCAGTTCTATAGAGAGAGCTGCGGCCAGAGAGATATGATTGTTTTCTATATAAACCTGGAATATGAAAACAGTTAACATGGTACAATGTATTACTTTTCTCCATGCAGAAAAAAATCTTTCAAGACACGTGATCTAATACATCAAATACAGAGGTCAACATGTTAAAGTGCAAGGGAAAAGGAATCATTATAAATTGTAAGCATACAATTCTAGAATCAATACTCAATCAGAATTCAGTCAATAACAGAAATCTAATTTTGCAAAAACTTGTTTCTGATTTGACTTGACTTTGAGTATTTCAATAAACATAAAATGAAATGTACATTTATAATACAATTTCTGTAATGGGGTTATGACACTCAAAACTGGGTAGTTGTGTGAATGTAGTTAGAAATGACTGTATGCATACCTGAACAAATTCACCACTAGGTTAGTTTTTTTTTAAATGCCAGAGAATGAATAAGTGAAAGACGAAATTATACCAATGTTAACAGTACGAGATCAAGTTTGATGTGAGAGTTTGACAACCAAACTGGGAAACTATTGTCTCACCCTTATAGCATGACTGAAGCAGTTTATGGCTGCAGTGAGGTGCTCCTCAAAGCTAGGACACTTCATCTCCCGGTTGGCCAGTTCTGCATCCAAAAATGACCGTGCAGCTGACGTTAAGGCCTGTGCCTCACCAGCTGCGTTCACCAAGGTATGCTCACATCTGGCAAGCATAAAACTAGACCATCAGCTGACAAACATCCAGTAGATGGAAGAAAACAATTTTTGTTCATGCCATCAGATTGATGTTTCTGTTAAGTAACTAACAAAGAATGCAGGCGCGGATTTAGGGGGGGGGGGGGCACACCCGGCCCCGGCCCCCCCTTTTGGCGGCGGACTGACCTTTTCCGGGCCGGCCCATAATGGTCTTATCGGCAGGGAATGGGAACATATTAACATTTTAAAATGCATCAAATAATGCACGGAGCTTGTTTAAAAAAAAATCTGGGGCTATGCCCCACACATCTTAGCAAATATTGTGGGTTTCCGTTATCTGATATTTTTACTATATTTTCTTTATTAAAACAATATTTGTTGGCATCGCTACGCTCGTCTACTTTGTATCTTGACCCTAAAGTGTGTTTTTTATTTTACCACCTCCGCAAAACCCTAAGTTGCAACTTGCAATGCTCGGCGGAAATATACTAGCATAAGTTGCATAATTATATAATTGACCGCTCGTTATAGATGATCTGAACATTAATTCTTTTTATTGTAACCTTCCTAACCGCCCGGGCGATATTAATCATATCATTATACAAGACCGATAAAGGTTTTTTTCGGCTGACAATATTATGTATAATCGATTAAACATATCCATTCAATTATTTTGGTATTATATATATTGTTGGAACTGTTTAACTATCTTGTATGTACAACATAATATCTCATTGTGGTACTTATAGCTTACCATCGTGTACGTACAAGAAAGTATCTTCACACAGCATACTATTGTGTACGTAGTAATAACTTGTACGTGCCAGAATGAGATGATATGCTGTACTTACAAGTATGATAATTCTAAATTAAATTTAAAGGTGACGCGTATGTGCCTCCTAAGTTGTACCATTTTAACCAGATAGCTTAGCAAATGTACCACCTATGGTAATATGCACGCCCTTACATGAGTTAATCAGCGTAGACATTTCAGATATATCATTGTCTACACTAGTGAATTAGTTAACAATTATAAAACAAGAGACTATAACAGGGGCGGGTCCAGGTGAGGGAGTAATGGGCGTACGCCCCCCCCCCGCCCCTTTTCAAAAAAAAAAGAAAAAAGATTTTTTTTAACGTAATCTGCTAATATTGTATTGAATATGGCAATTTATCATATTCATTAATTAAAGACATACTCTGATAAAAAAAAATGTCAAACCATGACACTTCAACTATTTTTAGCCAAAAAAAGGTCTAAAACAGATTTTCTTCTACGCCCCCTCTTTCAAATATCCTAGAAACGCCCCTGTATATAGCTAGTGGCCTTGGGTGTCGCACTGATTTGAACTTACCGATTGTTTACCAACTTAGTGATGCCATGAGTAACTCATTAATTGAACAGCAACGATGTTATGGTGTTTTTATTCTTTTGTACGACAAACGTACAATATCTGAAGACTAGATTTATATTTTGACGGTGGACCTCTCGTATCCCCTTGCGGTCGGGACGCCGAATTAGGTAATAATGAACAAGTCCCCTGTGGATTCATACATTTGTCATCACCACGCTGTTGATAGAGAATTTGAACCGAAACTTAAATTTTCTTTCCAGTACACAAAAAAAGTCTTTGGGCCATACTTAAAATATGTTTTTATCTTCTTGTTTATTAAACATAAAAACAATCCTCAGAACACGGGAAATCGCTTCTGAGACGTTCTAGAAAACACATTTTTTTGGGGGGAGATCCCCAAACCCCCCTTACGGGGAGGGGGTCTGTACCCTCCCCCTCCTTGCGCTACGCACTCGGGCTGCTGCCTTTCGCAGCACACCGTTGACTATTGGGAAAAATTTCTCGGACCCCCTTTTAGGAAATCCTGGATCCGCCCCTGGAATGTATTTAACATTAAAAAAGTTCTGCTATGTAATCTAAAGATAGACAAAGATATTATTACATAATGTGTTAAGTGTCTGAATTAATGCATCAAGATGAAAACAATCATCTATAAAGTTTAAGGAAGCACATTCAGCCATATACAAAGGTTAGATATGTGGGAATCCTTTTTATCTTGACTTTGAACATTTACCTTGCTTGTGCTAAGCAACAAAACCCTGCATACTGTGGACAATCTTGTTGCTTTAAACCCTTGGCAAGGGCAGCTGAAAAAAGAAATATGTATCCACAATAATTGCATTTTTCCATTTATTGGCATGATTATACCACAGATGGTTTACATATTATTTTCTCTGTATCTAGTTCTTCAAGATTGTAGGGGGTAGGAGTTTCCACAACATAGACCAGCTTACAAGATTAATATGATGGATAACTTTTTTATTAGGTAAAAATGTTATCCATCATATTAATCTTGTAAGCTGGTCTATGTTGTGGAAACTCCTACCCCCTACAATTTGATCACACAACTGATCATGAGTGGACACCCGGCATACCGTCAAGGTATCCATAGTCCAGCCAACACCCAACAAAAGGATCCAACCTAATATTGGAACGGCGTTGGCTCTTCTCCCCCTTTATAGTTCTTTCTAGACATATACTGACTATCAATTGTAATACTTCAAGTAAGAATCAATACATGTGTGTATGTCTCACCTGTTGTAAGATCACAGGTAGTTATGGACATATTGACTTTATACATTTCTCAGTTAAGTTAAAATGTATATTACAACAACACTGGTCCATTTGATCAATTTTGAAATGGATTCTAGGTCCAAATAAACATATTTATCTGTATTCCTATCTAACCTACCTAACTGATATTATTGTCTTCCCTTGTAAGATTTTTATCATTTTGAATAAGCTGATACATGAACCATTACAGCCTGGAGTAAGTAAACAAATTATAAAAAGCAGAATCAGATCTATTTTTAGATGAAAATGAAATTCAAACTACTTACAATATTGCTCTATACCCTCAGCTACATTAGGTCTTTTCAAAAAGCGTCTGAAAAGATAAATCATAGGTACCTCATTGCAAATCATGAAAAAAATACTACAGCAGAAGTTACATGTACCTATCTACATTTTATGTAACATGCAGATCTATGACTGGATCCTGACTGGAGTTAGACAAGGGTGCTTGTTATCTCCCTTCCTCTTCTGCTTGCCATAGACTGGCTGATGAAGACATCCAGGGAAGAGAAGAGAAATGGTATACAGTGGACTCTGTGGGAACAACTAGATGATTTAGACTTCGCCGATGACATTGCTCTTCTCTCTCATACACAACAGCAGATGCAGGATAAGACTGACACACTGGCACAGAGATCAACATGCATTGGACTCAACAATCATAGATCCTCCGGGTCAACGACCCCCCCCCCCCCCCCCCCCCCCCCTCACTATGATAGAAGGCCAAGCGCAGGATGATGTGGACTGCTCCACATATACCTTGGCAGCATATAGTAGACAAACAGGATGGGACAGAAAACAACATAAGAGCAAGAATTGGCAAGGCCAGGACAGCATTCCATCAGCTGAAAAACATCTGGGGTTCCACAGGCCTGACTCTGAACACCAAAATCAGGATCTTTAACACCACTGTGAAGCCTGTACTACTCTATGGCTCTGAGACATGGTGGACTATGTTATACTGTCACCACCATAAAGAAAATACAGACCTTCATTAACACCTGTCTAAGAAGAATTCTCCACATTCTATGGCCAGTCATCATCAGCAACCATAACCTGTGGGAAAGAACCAAACAGCAGCCAGTAGGGGTAGACATCCTCAAAAAACGCTGGAGGTGGATTGGTCATACACTAAGGAAGCCACCCCCAGCACCACAAGGCGAGCCCTAACCTGGAACCCACAGGCAGAGCGGAAAAGAGGCTGTCAAAGGAACACCTGACAGCGATACCTAGAGGCTGATTCGAAGAGGATGGGACTGACATTAGGGCAGCTTGAACGGCTGGCCCAGGACCACAGGGGGAAGTAAAGTAAGTAAGATCTATGTGACATGCTATATGTCGATCACTGTTCACCGTATTGACAACCAATAATACATTGTAGGTTAATTGGGCCAGACTTGCAGATGGAAAATTAATGTCAACCCTTTCCTAGCTCCTACATATACTAATGTAGGTGTTAAAATCAGCATGGATATGAAAATTTGATAAACTCATATACCACTTGTTCCTCATGTTGGTGTCAACGGTTAGTGTAATTATGTGCACTTTTTACTGTGGCTGTTTTGGTTGGTTCATTAAATTACATTATGTTGTGTATGGTTTATCAAACTGTAATAAAACATATATTTTCATGCTAATATCTTGAAATGCACCACATCTACTTCTTCCAATAACCTGCATACCACCTCTGGTGTATTGTCGATTTCACATCTCACATCAGTGACTACAAGCTACAGGGACCTGAGAATATGATCATCGGGGCTATCATTTTTACCAAAAGTCGATCTAAACCCCTAAAACATGTAAAATTACTCTGAACACATTAGTTTAGGTCAAAATATAGCTGTAACAAATCATCAGGTCCCTTATCAGTGACTGCGAATTTGCAAAGTTCTATGGTAATTATTTAAAAGAGCAGTATGACTTAGCTCAATACCTGTACACCACTACACACATATTATTTTCTTAATTGCTTGTTATTTCTCTCTGAATTGAGAAGATCAATGTTTGAGGTCCAGTACATGAGAGGATATTCTATCACAACCCGTCAAATTACTCAGGTATCGAGCCCCTGCGCCCGAGCAAGCGCTGCAGTACATGGACGTCTAGCCTGTTAATGACTAACCATTGATCAGTGTCAGTCCATATTGTTCTGTAGATAAAGGGAACTTTAACCTACTTTTTCAGTTTATTTGTGACTGCTCTGTATTTCCCAAGGACATCAACATCTTTCTCCATTGTAAACTTTCCTGTAATTCATTCGAATGTACCTCCGCTACTGAAGAGTTCCAAATCGGTGCGTAAAAACGTAAAGAATTACCGCACTTTGATCGTATACCGTGCTTTCTTTCATCATACGAAGTTATAATACCACTTTCTTTACGTTACGATTCTCATCTATCATATGAATATAAATGTAATCTAATAAGATCACATATTGATGTTCACTTATATATTTATTTCTTAATTTATTCAACCATAATTAAATTAATGGACAAATTAATCTCGAAATTCAAATTTTCAGTAGAATCTATTACAAGATTTCACAAGATTTTATTATTCTATTTATGATAATTATATATTTTATTCAATATTTACTGTGAACAGAGACATATATAAAGCCAGTACGTATATGTAGTATATATGTCTCTGCTATAAAGTCCTGGTAAGATAATGAAAAATAGGCGCAACAAACATCACTTCCTTTAATATTTGAATAATAAGTGTCATATTTTGGAAACCGCTCAACGGAAAGCAATATGACATCAGGAAAATCAAAAAATGAAGAAAAAAAAATTAAAAATGCGTAAACAGCTAGTCCTACAAAGGGTGAAAAACGCTTGTGACTTTTAGTTTGACACGATACTCGACAAAGACATACCTATCCAGAGACGTATAAAGCCAAGTGCTAAGCACTAAATTATTAATACCACGGACATGAGATCTAATCTAATTACGCATGCTTAATACGTAATTTAAATACATGATCATTTTTCTTTCTTCTTTCCTTCCTTTCGCGATATCACGGACTTCGATAGCAACTATTTTATCACGTCATCATCAACAGTCAGATTACTCTATATCCTTCTATGAGCCTTAAGCTTCTGTCCTAATTTTTTAGATTATAGATATGACGACATTCATGAAGTATATGACAAATTGGGGTTTATTGATCTCAATCTACTAACATCTGGTGTTAATGAACTTTCGCCTGAAAATTACTTTTTATATTATCTAAAGTAGAGAAATATATTAATCTAACTAAAAGGTTTAATTAACGTGGACTTATAGTTACCTATATTATCACATGAAATATCTTATCAGTAATAAAGATACATATATATGTATGTCAATCTGCTCCTTGTGTGTGATGGTGTATGGAAATGTGTGTGTAGGTGTCGCGTCTTTATATGTGGGGATGAGTGAGAAAACGAAGTATAAATACGAATGTAATCAGTATATAATATCATCTAATTAACTCATCGTAAATCACAAAAATGTACTATTTATATAACATTGTTAATGTATATATGTAATGTTAAACCGGAACAGGAGATGACTAATATAGACTATGCCTGTTGTCAAATCCTATTGTTTAATGAGCAGGACATAATATAGAGGCGCACTGTTGTGGAGGGTTAAACAACTTTTTATGCTGTTTCATAGTTTAAACTTGAAGTTGTTAATTGTCACGGCCGAGTGGTAGATGTTTCAACAGAAAACTTAATGATTCGTTGAAAGAATGATTGAGCGTGGTAATCTGTGGTCGGATGCAAGGGGAATAACATATATTGTTATGGGCTGCTTAAACACCATTATAAGCCAAGACTGATTGTAGAGACACATCATTGTCAGGTCAGTAGTCCATTCCAGCAACACTCTATATAACATGTTTAGGAGAAAACTGGGAGGGCTCGTAGAATGAAGGTTTGTTAAGACGCGACTTGGACTTGGGTGCGTAAAACTCTTTAATTTTATATTGACTTTAAGACATTAGGGGTGGGGTTACTGATTAATTTAAATTGAATAATGAGTTAAGTGTGTATATTATGAACTATGCCACAACTCAAAAGTTATAACTTTGGCTATCAGGGTTACAGCGAACCCAAGGGACTAAAAAACTTATTGGTATAACTATTATCAGGAGATACAAAACAAATAACTATTTATACCGTATTGCTTGTGAATTATATCATTGTGCTGATGTGATGGGCTCGAAATTTTAAAAGGCATTTAATGAAAGATGCACATTCGTTGCCATGGTATGACAACGCTTGACATAACTGCCGATGCAATATGAATACATAGTTTTGTTTGAGTACTACCGCTACAACCACTACCACTACGCGCTCAGAAAATAGTTCTTTCCCCAGCGCTTTAATCGAGGCTTATATAATATTATTATTTTCTAAATTTCAAATGTTACAATTATGTTCTCAAAATAAAAAATACCAAAAACACCAAATTAATCAGATATGATAGCTTTCTTTTGTCGTTCTATTTTATGCAGGAAACAGAATGCTGTCAGTTTTTCTTCTTTTGCTGTCAAAGTTATCATCAAAATATCACATCTTATTGCATTTGTATATAAAAACAAAAATACAGGCAATAAAATGCATATACTAAGCAGACCTACTGGTAATGTATAACTGCAACATGTGTCACAAACAAATGTTTGCACACCTTTCAGTTTGCCTTGGACGTCAATGTTGCAGCTATACCAGTAGGTCTGTGACTAATATGCAGTTAATGAAGCACAGTTGTGGGTACTCAGAAAACCATATGAAAGGATGAAGTCTACTCCTCTCTTTAACAGGTAAGTTTATACACCTATTGTTAATAAACTCACGAGAGGATTAAAATTATGCACTTGAATGCAATGTACAGATAAATGTTATACAATTTTGATTGTTGATTGTTGTGTTGTATATAACTTGGCTAATACAAGAGTGGAACCAATTAGATGGTGAATATCACAATTGATAATATAGATTTCCTGGCATTCCATTCAGCTACCCTTTCATAGCACCGAATCCTTAATACATTCTCTTCTTGTACGTATTTGTTTTTTATAAGGGTTTCAGTAAGAGAAGAGAAGTTGTTACATAGAAAACGTAACCTATATGCTAATCAATATGTTAAATATTACATTTCGAATGTGAAGAAAGATTGATTAATCACACAAATAATATGATTCTAAATATATAGCGCAAGTTTTCAATGAAAAAAATCGAGGGGAATTAAAACAAATAATTTTGGAAGATTTTTTCTAATATACATCGCCATATTTTGAATATAACTAACATGATTTTGGATACCAATAATTTTATTTTCAATATAAAGCTGAAAATTAAGAATGTTTTGAACATGAATCATAATTTGTTCAAGCCATAAACCTTGTTTATTTCTTACTATTCCTGACAAGCTTAAAATGAAAAATAAGCAATGCCGATGTAACAAAAGATCTTTCTGATGAAATGCAGACTACTTTTAAGCAAAGGAAAAAATGTCAAAAAATGTCCATTCTGCCAGAGCACGGACTAATCTAGACCCGTAATCTGTTCTTTCTCTTACAAAATTGAAAAATTGAAGGTTTTTTTCTTATTTTAAACACGCTTGTATGGAAATGAAGCTAATGAAGTTAACAGTGACGAGGTATTTTGTGTTACAGCTTGAGCTACGGTCACTGTTACATGTATGGTTAATGGTAACTTACTGGACAGGTAAAATATATTATATGTGGAAATGCACGTGTTGTCTCATATCAAAATAATACTAACGCAGTAAATCCTGTGTATTTATTGGTTTGTCCAAATTGGTCATTTCAAGAAGGAACATATAATTGTTAGGATAAGGCTTTCAAAGTAAGGACATTGTGATTAATGGAAACACATCGAGCAGAGAACGAACTTGCTTTGGTAGTTTACTAAAATGGCACTTAAATGGCACGAATTAAAACAGACACGTTACTGAGGCGGATGGTGAAGCAATCAGAACCGGATAATAAAACTAGAGCAGCTCTGAGCGAATGTTTTACGAAGGTCAAAGTGGAGAATTAGGCACGATGTTTTTGTCAACTTCGAGTACGCGATGATTTGTCTTATGGCTATGTGATATATCTGATCGCATTGGAAACAGTATAACATTCCCGACAAGTATACATGGTAATAAAGGAACGTTAAACAACAGTCAATCTGTTTATTGTTAAGCGCCTTTCACCTCCGGATACTATAATGTTGTTCAGGGAGCTTTTGCCGCAAGCAACATGATTCAACATCACAGCGCAACTTGAGGTTCAAAGCTTTTGTTTACTAGATGCTTACACCTTGCTAATAGTACTCAATAACTCTGCTCACACCAGATAGACAGTTTCAACGCAGTCAATGGAGGAAAGTAGTTTGCAATCCTTTTTAATGGAGATATTCTATTAGTTCGTAGATTTGGTTAAGGGAGACAACTTTTCTGTCATCCGTCAGAGGGACAGAGTACAACAAAGGATGGATATGGTCACCTGAGGGCAGCCGTCAAAAGGTCGGGGTGGATGTAGTCGACTGTACGTCATGGACGTCAACCTGCGGAATAGTAGGTCATCTTTGGATCTTAGCTCATGAGTCCATCATAATTCTTGAGAAACTATTCCATCAGCTCTCTAAGCGCCTCGTGGTCATCGTCCTTCTGGCGGACAGGCCTCTAGCAACCCGAGGATCAATCATTATCGTGCTAGAAGAGGACGTATTTGGAGGACACGACATGTCTGTAAGGAGTGTTGAAATCCACAGGCGATTAATAACAAAATGGATATTAACCATTGAATGCTATTTGTGAATGTCGTATATCTAGTCAAACAAGTAGACACTATTCTTCATTTGCAAGTATGATTGTGGAGTAGCCTGCAACCAATACACCCCGCATGTATTTAACACTTTTAGCTGGATCTCTAAGCGGTATTACAATAATAATATATTTTCATTTAATACAAAATTTCTCTTTCCCAATTTACTGAATGATACACTTTCATCAGCAGAATAATGCTAGACGTAGAAATTGATTATTTTGAATGAAAATAAATTCAATTTAATTCAAAACGTTTGTTTTACATAATAAGGCCTCTCAGTGCAATGGTTTCTTTGATTGACATGTTTGATGCTGTTGTTGAGATCGAGAGAGTGCAATTCATGATGTAATATCATAAGATGACATTGATATTGAAATGACGAATAATTGAGTGCAGAAATCGACTAGAGTAGCTACCCATTGATCTGGCCTTTATTGAAGACATCTTACGGTGATGTCCCATGCACTGATATCACTACCTAGTCTGCGTATCACAGCTAATATTCTAGTGATTACTACCCTGTCTGTATCATATCAGTAAGGGTCCATATCTTACTGCACTTTGGTTTACCGTATATAAAAAATAATCTCCCTTTAATAATTGTAACACAATTGGGCTAGGGCACTTCCATAGGTTCCAGGTAGCTTAATCGGTCGGAGCGATCGTATCAATCTGAATCATATATATATATATTTTTAAGTTTATATTTGAATACATATGACTGTATCCAAAATAATGCTATATATATATATATTTGAAATCAGGATTAATATTGGAAATCATGTTATTCCTCTTCGAAAATATCATCTTATTTAAATTCGGTAAACTGTGATGTATATTCAAAATCCTATGGAATATGTTAACTTGATGAATCCTGTGGTATGTTAACTTGATGAATCCTGTGGTATGTTAACTTGATGAATTCTGTGGTATGTTAACTTGATAAATCCTCTTTATTGTTTTGTAAAATATTCGTATCACGGGTAATCTGACGTAATCGCTACTCTTTGTAACTATTTTCATCGGGTGAGCTGTCTTCATATGACCTTAACTGTAAAACCCAAAACAAACCAAACCATTTCCTGAAGGTATAATTCAAACAATTACATATACAATAGAAGGATTGAAGACAGTCCAATGCCTTAACAACTTGTTCAGCCAATCGAAAATGCCGTAACAAAGAACATGTGACTACCCTAGATTACTTTAGATTTAGCAACTTTAGATTTAGATTTGTATCGTTGCAGTAAACACACAACACAGATGTCAATTATTTCATTTTTATTTTATTTTAAAGCCTACTGATTGATGAATGTGTATTTCGGTGAATCCCCTGTTGATGATATATTGTTGCGGCAAACATGGATTTCACTTCATGAAATAAGTAAGACATAGTAGCTTCTATTATCAAACATGTACAAATGCCGAATTGCTGATAACTCTATAATGAACATATACTGTAATTTGTATTGTCATCAAGACAAACACACTCTCTCGGCGGACATTATCATGCAAACACTTCTATGCAATATCACCAATAATGCTAACGGGTTTATTTTATTAGTTACATGATTATTCACGTTTGGGAGCATTTTCACTCATTTAAATAACACAATATGTTCATTTGTTCACGTATATGTTAACAAATTAAAGCATCTTATCAAAAATAGTTTTTACTTTCATCAACCATTATGATGTACTGCTTTACAGCATATTGACATTATTTTACTAACTAGAAGTAATACAGATATAGAAATGATTGTACTGTACATATTCAGTGAAATATAATGAAATATAAACATGGCACCTTTCGAGGGTATGTGATAGTATTAGTAGCCGTCCGGGTATCCTGACTTGCGGAAGTCACAGTTAGCGGTTATATCCCCCTCATGGCGCTGTAATATTCCCTGTACCACCGAACCCGCAGTGTCGGTTAATGTGATGTTGTGTCCTATACTGCGAAGTCCATCCAAAATATCCTTAAAGAAATAAACGGTAATTAAGCATCATCAGATATCCCACATCTTGATTCATCAGATATCCCATATCTTGATTCATCATATAGCCCATTTCTTGATTCATCAGATATCCCATTTCTTGATTCATCAGATATCCCATGTCTTGATTCATCAGATATCCCATATCTTGATTCATCATATAGCCCATATCTTGATTCATCAGATATCCCATTTCTTGATTCATCAGATATCCCATGTCTTGATTCATCAGATATCCCATATGTTGAATCATCATATAGCCCATATCTTGATTCATCAGATATCCCATTTCTTGATTCATCAGATATCCCATAACTGGATTCATCAGATATCCCATGTCTTGATTAATCAGATATCCATGTCTTGATTGATCAGATATCCCATGTCTTGATTAATTAGATATCCATGTCCTGATTCATCAGATATCCCATATCTTGATTCATCAGATATCCCATGTCTTAATTAAAGTAATATGTCAGTGATTGAAGAATATCAAGTCAAAATAGGCCATCGAAAAGCTGTAAAGCTGTTTTAACCTCACCCACATCATCACACCCTCTCCTTTCTCTTCTACTCTGCGTTAAGGAAGCATGCCATTTATTCCATCATAGCATATTAACTAATAAAGCAAAATCTTCAACCTTACATGCTCATGTACAAAATGGCGTGCACCAGGAAAAATACTATGATCGTTTTTAGTTTTTAGTATTTATGGGTAATCATAATTTAAAGCGTGTTGTCAATTTTGAAATAAGGATAATGTCAACAGAACTCCATGATGATGAAAATCATTTTCCTTGTACGAAGGAAATTGAAAATAGAAATACGTATTGATTTCAAAAACTTTTTACAAGTACGTATCATCCAAATAAGATAAAGACGAGCACGTCGCTTATAAAAACAGCACAATTTACCGGGTATTTCGTAAGTGCATATGCACATAAATAACGGACTTTTTCAAAACCTCACTGCAATGGAGTGTTATACATCCACACAGAGAGTTACAGCAATGTATTATTATTAGTCCCATATAAAAGGAATGGAACGCCTACGCCACTACTATCGGTATAATACCTCGGGGAATCCCTTCTCGACCGCTAGTTCCTTTGGCAGCAGTTGGTGATGTATCCGACGATGGTCGATGGCCTGCTTGATGTCCAGTCCAAACATCAACGTTTCTATCGTTACCTGTATCCAGAGAACATCAAACAGTTTACAAGGATTTTTGATATTATTTATAATTGGATAATGGAACAAATGTATCAAAGAGATCATGATTGTGTTTTTTTGATTTTCCGCTCTTAGCTAATGACTGCTGCCGTACAGATTCAGTATCAGACAGATGCATTTTATAATATGTTTTCCGATGAAGACATCTCACTATAACCCAATTTATACCATTACTTCTGCAGGATTTCCCCTCTTGTTGACGCACAGTGAACTTGTTCCTGGGACAACAGTTCAAACCGTGTCGACAGCCAACTTACCATTGCCGTGGACGTAGTTATTTTAGTTCCACCAGAAGCACCGACAACAAGTCGGACAACTCCGTTGCTATCTGTGATTATGCTCGGGCACATTGAGGATAAAGGGCGCTTGAGAGGTTTTATGAAGTTGGCCTCTGAAGCCGGAACGCCAAAAGAGTTTGTTGTGTTTGGAGTGGAGAAGTCGTCCATTTCGTTATTAAAAATAATACCCGTTCTAGATCCCACAACTTTAGAACCAAAACTGAAAAGAAATAAACGAATGAATCAATCTTCTTTACTCAATGGTTTCTATTATTTTGATATGATTGGTTCTAAACAGTGTTTTGTTCTTTATTTGTTTTGCTGAGAAATAGCAAATCGGATTTCGGCCAAGAAAAATGTCATTGAAGTTTAAAAAATACATTAAATAAGATAATTTGCACTCTACATAATCATGTGGAAATTTTGAAAAGTGCGCAGTAAAAGAGATATAAAAGACATCTATATTTTCCCGTGATATATATTTTTCGCTAAGAATGAACGGAAGAGGAATGTATTTGCTGATACAAGAATAATGTGTTATTGTATGCATATTTTAATCGTAAATAAGGATACTTATAAAATTGACATGAAGTAATTAAACGCAGATATGTTATGTGCAACATCAAATCTATGGTATTGTAATTAAAATTGAAATTATTTGTAATATCATTTTACTTCCAGGGAAATATTTGTTACGTTAACACTATAAAATTATTACTAAGTACAGTCAAACCTGTATTAAGAGGCCACCCAAGGGACCGGTAGAAATTGGCCGCTTAAAACGCTGCTAAAACCAGGCTTACCCGAAAATCACAACCAAGTTTTCATACATCCACGGGTTATAATGACATTTTCCCGGCAATATAGGCTGCTATGTTATTTTGAATTTTTCTCCCTTCATCAACTGGGGTACGATTTCATACTTGAATATAGATGCATAATCAATAAAATACAAAGGCGTTTTGGTGATTAATTTCTTGAAATGATGAATTTATTTTTGTTTGGCTATCCCCGTGTTCCACATACGTTTTGCGCTAGCAGACAACCACCAGTACTGAAGTCTACAGGTATATCTACTTTTAATAAAAATCTGCATTGCGATGTATTCTGATCTATGGGGTTCAAATAGTTTTCTAATGAAATGATATATCAGTATTTAGTTAATTCATCACTTATAAATAAATCACTCAATAAATAGAACTTTGCAAGAATCTTTGAGCTTTCAACCTCAGCGTAACGGTTTATTCACAGCACCCATGCGCCGTATGGAAAGGTTAACACTAATGTCCTGATCTCGCACAGCTATTACAAGCCAAATAAATATATTGTAGAAATAAATCACGACGGTAAGGAAAAAAAAACTGATTCAGCGTCTGCACTGTGAAATTTATCCTTTTGACATGATGTGTGGTTCGTTGATATAGCGGCAATATTTTTGATCACATAACATATTAGGCCCGAGTAGCTTTGACTACAGTATGTACAGATACCACAAAAGATCATACTTGATTTGAAAATCACAAGTTGATTGAGTACACAAGGTGGGATCAATTGTTTTGTTTGTAAAACATTGTTGATGGGTCGGTAGAACCTGCCCAAATTTGCAAGCTGAAACTCGATGTGTAAACAACTTGTCAATTCAACGCGTCAAACCTTACCTGTGGTCTTTAATTATACATTGTATTTAGTTTTGCTCTATTGAGATGTATTCTTGTTAATATATTGTGATATTCTTGATGTCAATTTCTGTACAAAATGACCGCTGAATACAGATGGAGATGACGTCTCGGGCCAGAGTTTTGTGACCGCTGGACGCATTAGACAGGTAGCTATTTAATTCAGGTTCATTATATATATATATATATTTCTATCGGGCGGACCACAGACTGACCACATAAGGGAGGGGGTTGCTTATTTTAGGTGACCGCTCAAGCAGGTTTGACTGTATATTCAAATCAAGTTTATTTACTGTATCAACGATAAAATGAAACACATTTGCGAATTAAACTCTTTGGCCCGAGAGGACATGCCAATAACAGTCTCTGGAGGATGTCCTTTTCAGAGGAAAAGTGTCACATACTGTAGGTTAATGGTACTTGTGACAGACACCGCGTCTCCGTTGGGGGCCAGTACTGACAGATGGGCAGTGCTCGTCTTTGTGACATCATAAAACGTAGGACCGTAATACATTGTGTTATGGGTTCGATCGTCGTCAATCTGAGATCGTACGTAGGCCGCAAAGCTCTTTGACGTCATGTTTTTCAGCAGCTGTAACATAACATTTATTGATTGTTATCGACTGAACAACAGGGGTTCCTATATTTATTCCTTCAAAATATGCTAAATTGATAAAAAAAAATAAAAAAATCTTAAGCATGCATTTGTTGTTTTTGCGTATTACCTTCGATATTAAATAGCCCAATATGGACATATGTATCACATATATAAAATGAGTACATTTGTGTTTGTGATGTATATTGCAATGAAAAAAAACATGCTCACAAATCAACAACCGTATATCCATCTGTGACATTATTATCTAAAAATAGAGCAAATATTTATTTCTGTCAGAAGAAACTTATCCATGGAATATCAGTGAATCAATGTATTACATTAATAACAAACATTTTTGGTAGTTTTTATAACATTTTATGAATTGGTTGCTATAATCAACTTACCACATTTAGTTCCGTTCGGAAGGCGTCGTCTTCACCATCTCCATCCCCCAGACTGGACCGTTTGGCGTAGGAAAACTTGAACGCCTCTATTATCCTATGCCAGGCAAGTATTTCTTTCTGTGGTGTAGATATGCTGTCGTTGCTCATCCCGAATTCTGTAAGTGGAACGACATACCACGTTGAAATATTTCTAAATCATGTCATATTTTGTTTCACATAGAATTGAATTTTTTAGGATTATCCAAATAAATACTGCATTGTTCTTGTTCAGTTTGACGCTCATCCTTTCTTGCAATGGCATTTTCGAAAAAGCAATAGCTACATTAACACTAATAGGGATCTATACCTCTAGACCTGCAGTTGAATTTAAAAACAAATCTACGACAATGTCAAGCAAATGCGTAGCTTTGGCATCATTCCCTTTACTACTGACGGAATGTTATTTTACTGTAATACAGGGAATGACTAATTGTTTAGCTCTCATGAAAAGTGTTTTTGTTCAACAATTGCTATTTCGTCTAGTGAACAACAACTATAAGGTAAATTGGCCAATATACCATCCACGATGTTTAGGATCATTTCGTAGACTGCTCCACTGGAGGGTGGCGGTGGGGAATAGACGGATGAATTGTCAGTGAGCCTGATGACCAACGGTTCCTTGACCACTGCTGTGAAGTCCAATAGGTCCTTTTCCGTGATTATACCTCCTACAACCCAGACAAAACAGTTGTTGTTTTGGTATGTTGTACATGAAATAATTGTTTCAGAGAAAAAATATCTATTATAGCCAGCATTTCTTTTGTAACGTCCTTGGGGGTTTTGCTATTCACCTCTGCCCTTTCGATAAAAAGGTTTCACAATTCTTCGGGCATAGTTTTCATTCTTTTGATCTTTTACTCCACTGGTAAGTCCAATATAAACGAAATGCTCATATTGTGCAGAAAATGTCTACTTTGTTTGGATTTGAGCATCATATAAATACATTTTAAACGGATACCGTCATACTTTGCATAGCTATATTTTTTTTTAATAATTCTTGATTGATTACAAATATCAGAACTTAACATTAAATGTATCTGGACCTGGCAAACGATTCAAGAATTTCTTATATGAAAACTACATTTGTGGAATTATGATGGAAATTTCATCCATTTGTTATAACAGTGAAACTTCGATAATAGATCAACACATATCATTGGTAATATGTTAATTGGTCAGTGCATTTGTAAGCAAACTTAGCTTGTATTGAGCAAAGGAAGTACATTTCATAAGAATAAAATATTTCTTGGTAAAAAAAAATTAATTCATTTATCAGGGTAGCAGCAAAAAATAATTTGTATATGTTAACAAATTCATACTAGGTTTTTTGAAGTAGTTCAAACAAGGTGAAAGTGATATCTGCAACTAACAATGTATCACATGTGTATCATGTATACATACCATAACAAACTATCTAAGTATGTTACTCTTATTACATTTCTACCTGAGGTTTAACACTGAATATGAAGTAAATAATTTGTTTGCTATGACAAATGATATTTTTTCGTTATTTTCCCACTAAACCAATTAATTAGACAGCAGGATTTAGTGCAACAAACGAATAATAGGCAATAGCATTGAGGCAGTTCGTCACAGTAGTCCAACAGCTGTTTCCTTGCCTCAATATATTTGCTGACGCGGGATGGACAAACCGTTCACAGAAGCATATCTCCTTATCAAAAATAACGTAATAAACATAGTATGCTTGATTTCTTTATGAATAATAGATTCACACATCTGTTAAAGTTTATAAAAAGAAGAAAAATAACTGTCGTGCATAAAAAAACAAGGAATATCCTATTTATACGTTTTGTATATTACCATGACTGAAAACAATTTACAAATGAAAGTAGGTATCACACGAAGGATATTACAGAATAATGACGTGCGAGGCATGCACTTCCAGCATGATATCAGTCACCAACCTGCGTCCTGAATGTCTTTAACGATGTTCTGGCTAAGACTGCCGTTATAGAAAGCGTCAGGACCTTCATCAGCTATTGTAGTAAATGTTGCTGCAAGGGTGGGCAGCTTCATTATTTCCCCTTCTTTAAAGAAGAAACCAGTCGTGGGGTTGGTAAGCAACTGCCTGTTTTTAGATAAGAGAAGCATTATATGTTATGCATTGCGAATGGGTAACACAGAAAAATATCAACCTTAAATCTATAAGTTTAGTAGGTAGAAATACATTAAAAAAACATTATCAGCTCACGCAAAAATCGGATGCAATTTCCGGTATACTTAGGAGTAAATAATTTATTTTCCAGGAACACTCTACATGGGTTATTGAGAAGAGGGCATCCCAAGTGTAGCATTTAAATAGGTTATATTTTTGATGAAGACCGTTATATACACATATCTACAGAACAAGCTACCTATATGTTTAATATGTTCTTTTTAGGCGATGTTACAGGTTATATTTATGTTTTTATATCAAACAAGTGATGCCTGATGAGATATCCTCAATAAGAAGACATTTCTACTGAAGCTGAAAGCTGACCTGAGGTTTTCTTGTCGTGGGTAGAAACGACCGTTGCGTTGGATGGCTAAAGCGAGAGCACTGTTTACAGGCATACCGTCTCGGAGCAGACGTATTGTTGGTTGGAATAACGTTTTCCATGGTAGTTTTCCTCCAAGCTTCCACGCAGTGTACATTCCCTTGATTTCTCCAGGTATTCCAACTGTCATACCACCTGTCAAGGACACGTATGTCTGAGTATAACGGCACCCTAACACCAACCTGAATGGTACCGTATTCAATTTCCAGGCAGTGTATCAATTGACTTAGCTACTAGCTACGTGTATTTGACGTGCATTACACGCTGTGATACAATGGAGAACAGACAGACGTGACGTACATTAGCATCTGAAAACAAATTATGTTTGACATACCCTCAGTTGATGATTGGTTTCCAACATACATGTTCTCATTAGCTGCACTAGGCGCCATCTCCCGGGCGATTATTGTATACGCTGTGTTGTTTTCTCTGGTGAAAGATAAGTCAATTTGAATATGCTTTCAATACATTTGAGATGAAATATGTATATTTATCTTATAAGTACATACCCAAGGAAACCTGTGATCAGCGACAATTGTTTAATTCGTTTGGTTTTGTATTTTTTAAAGCCCTATCAACAGCTATGGTCATTTAAGGACGGCCTCCCCTGTGAGCAAGATGCATGCGCGTAGTGTATGCGTGTGTTTTCGAAGGCTGTGATATGTTCGTGTTTGTCTTCTTGTGATAGCGCGGAACTGATGCCGACTTTGAAGTGCTACCTCACTGAAATATACTGCTTAAGACACCCAGCAGGACACCCCACCCGGTCACATTATACTGACAGCGGGCGTACCGGTCGTCCCACTCTTAAATTGCTGAGCGTTAAGCAGGAGTAGAAACTACCATTTTTACAGACTCTGCTATGTCTCAGAGGACAGAACCCAAAGCCTTCCTCACAAGGGCGAACGCTCAACTAAAGGCCAAAAATTAGACATTGTCAAGGGAGACATTAGGAAGAAAGTTGTTTAGAAAGAAGAGAAAAGACAAGATCCCAAATTTAGTCGCCTCTTACGATCATGCAATGGGGGCAGCAGGTACAATTCCTACGCCTTACCTACATGGACTGACAATTGTTTAAATATGCATACCTTAACAAAGTCAGTTGTATACAGTCCTAACGAAATTGAATGGGTTTATAAAGGTCTTCAGTAACTAACCGAATATATAAGGTCCAAGAGAGTAACGTACCTGTTATATACGGTCATGAAATGGCCTCCACCTATGCCACAGCTGTGCAGATTCTGTACACACTGACACAGGAGGGCTGCAATAGCGGCATCTACAGCGGAGCCACTCTGTCGGGCCATAATGTCTCTGAAAGAAGATGACCCATTTCTCGTGTAGTACAATGTACATAATGTGTAAACATTTTCTTGGGAAAATGAAAGAAAAATGTTAAATCTATGCCATGTGTCAAACGCTATATACCATCAATAACCATACGACTTCTAGGAGAGGATTTCGCAAGTAAAAGGCAAATGCGTAAGCATTTTCCAATATTTTTTTCTGCAATGTGTTGATAAAAGCATCAAAGGAAATTACTTTAGAGGAACGAAATGATTAGAATGTTAATATAATACACCAGTTTGTCTTAGTGACACACTATCATTAATGCTTATCGATTGGGCCTCGTTGCCTCCTGCGTTATAATATCACTTTTCATTTACCGTACTAGGATCATGTGTTTGAAAATAACGTACGTGCCAACAGTCGAGCAAATCCCTGCATCAGATGCCACAGCTCCATATCGGTAGAACCCCTCTTTTGATGACGACACAAATACATTTGATGACGTGGGCACTGTTGAGGTCTGTGGGACAGTTGTTGTTGCCGTTTGTCCAGTTAATGAAGATCCTGAACAGTCTGGTGATAGTTTTTCAGACACACTGTGAATATAAACGCCCAGTCCTACTCCGACACCGGCGATAGCTATACAGATGAATATGGTGGCGAAGAGAAGGTAGCGCCCGACGGAGCCATAGTTACCACCGCTGTACGAACATAAAATATAAAGGTTAGACATTTCCTGTAAAGACTTATCTACTCAAAATCATGTCAAACTTGTATAAATAGAGTTTACTTAATGGTTTAATGAATGTTTAATACATATATATTTACTTTTGCATGACATTGTCACCAAACAATTCTTCAAAGCTGTGCCATTCAAATAGATAATTAATGCCAAACAGTTCAATGCTTAAACAAAGCATGGTAGAATACAATCTGATTAAAATCATCTGTTACATGGCACCGTCTGAACATCTGAATGTGCCGCGGTCAGGGTCACGTTCAAGTGACCTTTAGATGAACCAAACAGAGGCGCGCTGGCAAAAGTTTGCCATCGAATCGGAATATCATGGTTGATATATAAATAGCGAGGGGTATCGAACAGATTAGTTTTCCAAAACAAATATGGCGGCGGGAGCTGACGTTTCTACGACGCCAGGTAAAAAGTACTCATTGGGTAATAATTGCGTAGGCAACACCGGCAACCAGTCTTTCTTCTCTAATAAACCTTCGAATATCTTTTTCTGTTCGGGTTTCAGTCGATCAATCTCAAATAACTTCAGAACTTTCGCATCATTCTTATCAATGTCCGACATATTTGTTACAACTCCGAGCGCCCTTTTGAAAGAGGGTCTCTGATTGGTCAAAATTTAATGAGTATTTATAAATATAAGGGTCACCTGAACGTGACCCTGACCGCGGCACACTCAGCTGTTCAAGCGTAGTACGAAGTTAGCGAAGCCATGTAACATATGATTTTAATCAGATTGGGTAGAATATCGATAGTTTCACAGAAGAAATTGTCACTGCATAAAAAAATGTATATGGATATTGTAATTTTGGCACAAACTTCCAATGACGTCACGCCTGACAACAATGCTGGTTGCCATTTAATTTAAATTTCCGTTTAAAATTTATTGCTTATTGTTTTCTTCAAAAATGTTATTAACTGTGTTGTCGGGGGAAAATCTCGTCTTCAGAAACAAAATAATGATCTGCGGCTAGTGCATAGAAAATGTCGTTTGATTTGTTTATACTTAAAATGTTATCCACATAATATATCACTTTTTTTTTATTTTATTTTTTATTTGTTTATTTTCAAAGTATTTTTCACATTACAGTAACATATACATTTCATTATACATAATGAATTCCACTTTCACACATACTTACATACTAATTAATATTGCTCTTTTTGTAAGTGGTATTTTATTTTATTGTAATGTTATATTAGAAAAGAAGGAAAATCAGAAAAGAGAAACAAGAAAACAAAGAAATAGAGGAAATAAAGATAGGTAAATGGACAGAAAGAAAGACAGACAGACAGACAGACGGAAAGATAGACAGACAAGAAGAGAAGTACCAGTATTAAACAGACCAATTAAAAGGATAGAAGTCTGGTAATATATAGGTGTCAGTAGCTAAGTAATTAAGATAATACATTGAATGTTTAAATTTTGTCTCTTTTTTTTCAAATAAATTAAAATTAGATCAAACATATAAACAATCGGCAAAAAGTAGGTCTAGGAAATATCAATAAGCCTTTTCCATTTTTTCCACTCATTCTGGAAGTTAATGAGATATATTTCGTCTTTACTATTTGCAATATATTTTTGAATACTGTAATGTTCTTTAATTGAACTTTTAATTCCTTGTATAGATAAAGGCACTTTAAGACATCTTGCCTTGTATATATACTGTTTTATTATTAAAATAATACTATTGTCACTTTTATTAAGTCCGTTATAGTTATAAAAACCAAAAAGAAATGTTTGTTTATTATAATCAAATGGAATAATCAATGCATCTAATAAGAACTCAAAATTTTGTAAAAGATTTTGTACTTTGTCACATTCCCATAATACATGCTCTATTGTCTCTATTTCTAGTTTACACAGTTCACAGTAAGGGCTATCTACTATTCCTGCCTTAAACAAATATGCATTAGTTGTCAAAATGTGCTGATTAATTCTGTACTGAAACCACTGTAATTTGGTATTTTTCGTAATTCTAAATGGCATAATATATATTTTTTTCCAAACTTCATCATCAAATTGAAATATATCATCCCATTTTTTTTTACCTGTTGAAATAGTATCATTTTTACAAAATAAGCTATAAAAATCTCTTATCCCCTTTTTGTTTTTCAAAAACATTTCTATATTAATTGGTAAAAATGGATAGTTAACCTCTACATTTGACATATCTTGTTGTATAATATACTCTCTAATGGCAGTAATTAGACCCTGGTATCGCAAAAAGTTTGTATTAATATCATAAATCTGTTTGAATTCTTGAAATGTGTAAAAAGCATTGGTATTTCTGTCTCTGATTAGATCATCAATTACAATTATTCCTTTATTGTACCATTCCCTGTAAAATATACTTCTATTTTCTATTGAAATATTTTTATTATACCAGATGGGCATTTTGAAATTACTGCTAGGGGACTTATATTTTTCAATAATTTTTCTCCATGCCCTAAATACATCAATCCAAAATAGATTTTTAGTTTTATTTTGACATTTTGAAATATAATCAGTTCCACAATTTGCCAGAATGTTTTTATCACAATATAATTTTAAGATCACTTGCCATTTACCAGAATTCATATATAACCTCCTAACCCACGTTAATTTTAACGAGTCAATAAACGACTGTACATGTAACATTTTAAGACCCCCTTTTACATAATCTTTAACAATGACATCTCTCTTAGCTTTATCTATTTTACTATTCCACAGAAAATTAAAAAGCTCTATATTTAATTTTTTAAGAAAACAATCATCTGGATTTGGTAAAGAGATAAAAAGGTGGTTGAATTGTGAAATTAATAATGATTTTATGATATGTATCCTACCAATAGGAGTCAACAATCTTCTTTTCCAGGTTTTAATCAAAGTTTTGAGTTTTACAAATTTCTTATCGTAATTCAATTTTGTTATCCTATGTAAATCTACATCAAACTCAATACCTAAAAGTGTAAATTTCCTATCCCCCCACTGCAAATTCAATTCAGGATAAAGAATTTCATCACTGTATTTTTTACTACCTATCCAAATAACATGTGTTTTTTCTATGTTTATTTTGAGTCCAGAAATATTTGCAAAACTTTTCAATTCTTTAATTGCCTCTTTTAATGAAATTTGTGTGCCATCTAAAATCAATGTAGTGTCATCAGCATACTGGGAAAGTAAAAGCGGGCAATTGTCAATATTAATACCATTTATATGTTTATTATTTCTCAGTCTTACAGCTAAAATTTCAGCGCATAATATGAATATATATGGAGCTATTGGATCCCCTTGCCTGCAACCTCTTTTAATATCGAAAAAAGATGATAAATTTCCCCCTTGATTTATTGCAGACTTTGCGTTTGTATGAAAGACTTTTACCCATTTTTTTATGCCATTGCCAAATTTAAAATAATCAAGAACTTTTTCAATAAATTTCCAGGACACTGAGTCGAAAGCCTTTTCAAAATCTATAATTAACAACATTCCTGGTATATTATTTTCATCTGTATATTGCATGACATCATAAATTAAAAAATATATCACTTTTGGTAAAGTATATGTCATCTTGTGAAAGATAACCTTTTTGCTAAGTTGAGAGAATCCAATAACTCATAGTAATAAATGTGTTTTAATTTTCATTTACGAGTTTTTCAGACAACTAAAACACACCAACGAAATACACAATTAACACAATGACCAAAGTGTTCCTTTATTCCTTCAAAATATTTACAGATTAAGATAACAAAACTGTATCTATTTAATATTTTATAGGACATTTTTAATAACAAAGTTCATATACTACATTCTTTTTATCATATATGTGGACTTACCTGTTTAAGAGAGGAGTAGCCTCCATACTTTCATTAAGTATTTTACTTATCAACTGTACTTCGTAAGAGCTGTTCTATACGTAGTTATATACTACATAGTCAATCTATATATTGATATATAGCAAAATGGTTAATAGGATGAAATGGTTTGTCAGACGTGACATATCATAACAACACCTGTGCATTTTTCATTTAGAAAAAATGCAATATAAAATGATACTGCTATTAACCGCCTGATGACATCTATGCTAAATACAGTTTTAGGACGAGAAATACAGTTTTAGGACGATAAATGCAGTTTTAGGACGAGAAATACAGTTTTAGGACGAGAAATTTAGTTTTAGGACGAGAAAGCATTTTATTGCTATATCATCTGTAGGCGATGTATTAATGTTATACTCATGCTACTCATGTTACCGCGATACTTTTAAACCAAATACCAGCTGCTACAGGTAATACAGTATACCTGTATATCAATAAAAAAAAATCATTTTGTTTCCTGTTTGCTGTAGCCCAAACAGCACATTTGTTTACAGAAATATACGTATACACATACATACTACTATAGGTGTCTTTTTTAATTAGGTTTTTTTTTTTTTTTTTTTTTTTTTTTTTTTTTT